AACTCGGTCGGCGCGCGTGCGCGTGCGTCGGCCACCGCGACTCGCGCACGCGCACCCGCGCCCGCCCGGACGGTGTACTTTACCGATATCGCGAGCGGCCCGAGCGCGCGTGCGTGTGCCCGTCGCGCGCCGTGACTGTGTGTGCACGGGGCCCAGTCGCCTTCCAAGTTAGCGCGCTGCCTGCCGCTTCCCGTTATTCGACGCGAGCGTACCGCACCACCGTCACGCTGATTGTCGTATATTTTCGGTTGTTCGGCCTTTTTTATTTATTCCCTTCCATTCCCGTCCTTATCCGCTTCCAGCTCTCTTTCTCCCTTTAACTTTTTTTATTTTTTCCGTTTCCTTCCGTTCCCGTCGGTTTTCGCTTCCGGCTCTCTTTCTTCTCCCTTTCAGCTCTCTCCCGCTCTTTCAACCTTTGCGCTGGCTAACGTCGTCCTGAGACCACTCGATACGGTGTCCGAGATCTCCGACGAGGTTTCCCGCGAAACGAAGACGCGCGCACCCGGAACACCGGGCGAATACCGTTCGGGCAGCATCGACGATTGAACGACGTACGAAGTCGTCTCCTAGGTAAGTGATCTCACTGCACTCTCTCTATCGCGCGCGCCAGAAGGAGCAGGGTGGGCGATCTCGGGCGCGCGCGCACTCTCTCGCCCGCGAATTTCCTCGCCGCCGATTATTGCTGCTGCCACAACACTCGCTCGGTGTTTCCCTCTCTCCACCGCTCCCTCTCTCAGTCCGTACCGCCGCGCTCTAGCGTCCGCGTGCGTGTGTGCGTCAATCGGCGCGTCCGTGTGTGTGTGCGCGTGCGCGTGCGTGCGCGTCCGCTGCGAAAAATTCCGTCGGCTTCGCGTCTGTCGTCTGTCTGTCGCGTACGAGTCGTACGACTTATCCCTGCGCTGCTGTCGTTATCCGTTGGTTATTTTTCGTACCGTTAAGTTTTTTTTTTCTCCCGCTACCCGTCACCGAATCTCCTCGCCGTTCCCGTGCGGTTCTGTTGGAATCATTTTCTCGCCGTTCCCGTTCGCTATCTTCGTCTCCGCTTGCGTCCACACGGGGTGTGTCTCCGGCTCTCCATTGCAGACACGTAGGTACACGTACGTATATACAATTCGCCCGGTGCGCCGCGACGATGATCCGTACGGACGATTACCGTCTGGGGGTGGGTGTTCCGCTAGAGCCACTCTCCCGGCCGGTTTTCACCCGTGTCGGCGGCGATCACCGTGCAGACGCCGAAATATAACTGATACCGAGGCTCGGGCGTCGCCGTGTGATCGGTCGTTCTTGTCGCACGGTGGTAGCGAGCATGTCGTCCTCCGGTCACCGTGTGTTTTCCAGGTGCTTGTCGTTCAAACCGTATCCGCGTTAATATCGTCCGTAGTGTTGTTATCCAACGGCATACGGCCGTTGCTATGCCCAAACACTTCAGTACCTGTCTAATCATTAGTCATTGAATATCCGGCAATAATATTCTAATGAACAATCAGTTGTTAAAAAATCAAATTACATCTACTGTTATATCATTCATGGTTTTCAAAAACATTGGTGTTCGTTCGCATATATTATATCATAATTTCTTCTCATAAATATTCATATACATTCTTGTGAGAAAATTTATATTTATCCTCTCATCATAATCGGTTGTTAAACAATGTATTTTGTAGTTGTAATTACCTACATATTAAGTAGACATATTTAATATTATAATTTTATATTTATTTAAAAATTCATGAACTTCTTATCTCAACCTGTTTTTTCTGTGTTGTAATTAATATCATGATGATAATACTAAGACATTTGTTATAGATAAATTAGTACATGTTTTGATTGTAGTAAAATTTTTGAAGTAGGTAGTTAGGTATAATAAATTACTCAATAATTTATAACATAATTATTATCATGTTAATGTACATTAGTATTTATATTGATTTTAATAGTAAACATGTGGTATGGTAAAAAAATGTTGATTTAAAATAATACATAGAACTTATTTAGATTATGAATGAATAATAATGACTTGATAATAATTATCTGGTCATTAATGAACGTTTCTATAGATTGTAGTAGGTCAAAGATTACAAACAACATCATAGTACAAATGAAATGATACAATATTAAAAATAAAGTATTACATACATTATACTACAATTTTTTATTTTTTTTATACGTTTACTTTTATTTAGTTAGGTTAATATTTCTAACTTTTTAGTGAATTTTTCATTTTGATTTCCTATTGTTATATTATACATAATTATTTTAATAGGTATTTATAAAATATAAATAAAATACATAATATGTTTATTTTAAAAATTAGTTATTTTAAGCATTCAGATTTATAAAATGGTATAAAATATAATTGTTTATCTGTTTCAACTTATATTACTATGGTTACCATTAATTCAATACTCAATTTATAAAAATTAAATTTTTCATGGATTATTTAATTTCAATGAATTAAAATAGAATATCTAATAATGTCAGTAAATGTAAATATATAATTTCAATGTTTGATGTTGATTATTTTTTTTTTATAAAATCAATATTTCCTTCCAAACTTTATAGGAATTATTTTTGGAATTATTCTAAATATATTCAATAGATTCATAAGTTAGGGTGGGTTGCATAAATGTTTGTTAGCGACTTGCATACAATTTACAGACTGATAACTAGGGACCAGATTTATATGTAAATGTATATATGTATTGGAATGAGCTTTTTGAAATCTGATGAGCAATGTTCCCGATTTAGATCTTTCTTATTAAAATAACACTAATTTTATTTTGCATATTTCAACGTTTTTACCAATTAAATGCATATTTTTAGTTTTATAGTGCATATTATTAATAGCACATATATTTGTTTTCGTCAAATTTCACCTTTACAGCCATATAATATCAATAAAATTGCGATCGGTCATTATTTCCAAAGATAAGATTACATACTCATATCTCATATTATAGTCATATACAACATATATATATATATAGATAAATAATATAGAATTCAAGTGTTGACTTGACATCAAAATATTTTAAAAGCTATTTTTATACTTTTTTTAATACCGTATTAATTAATATTTATTTTTACATTTATAATATATTTCACATATTTGTAAATAAATTTTAAACAACATTTTAAGTGAATATTTAAGTACATATTTAAAAATAAATACATATTTTATAGCATTATACAGCATTTTTAGAAGTATATTTTGAAGATTTTTTATGCATATAAATCAGGTCCCTACTGATAACACACTAATGATTCGGTAATTAAAATTGGGTGTTTCATAAACGCCAAATAGTATTAACGGCTCTGTAAGTAACTGATTGTTGGACCAGTATACTACAGACCCGATTTTGATTTGGTAACTTACAGATATATTAATGATAACCAATATTATCAATTGTAAATTTTATCCACAATATTTATACAATTAATTTTGTTTCTTTCTAAACTATAAGAAATTTAAACAATAATGGATCTTCTACATCTTCGTCCAGCGATGAAGACGATTTTGTTATACAAATCGTTCAATTTTTACCTAGACCTCAAGTTTTTCGTGATAGATCAAATCCTCTAATGGATCACGGTTTATTCATAGGATTATGTTTGTTATAATTTTAAATTTATAGAATACGTTTATTTGGTATCAATAAATTAATATTATTTTCATTATCACTATTTATCACCTAAAATATGGTTTAATTTATTTGATAACCACAGCTATCAATAAAATTAACTTTTCTTTATTAAACACCTTAATAATATTATCGATCAGTGAAACTTAACAGAATGAATAAGTTACAGGGCCAGTAACAAGTTTACAGACTGATCTTTATGCAACCCAGCCTTAATCTTTCAATATATATTAATTAATGGAATATTGTTCATTACTTATCAAACACACTTAGTTTTCTTAATTATTTTTAAAATTAATAAATATTTACTATATTTATAATTTTATACACCATTAAAACATAAATTTATGAAGCACTTACCACATAATTGGTATTTAAGTTATTTTTAATTGTATCTTATTAGATATTATCTATAATAATAAACAAATAATAATTTGATGAATATTTTTTAATGTTATGATTTATCTTTTATTATTTAGATATTTAAATTCACCAAAACAATGCTGTATAAGATTATTAACAAGTTTTTTAGCTAATTAAATTTAACATATTAAATCTAAATATTTTACTACCACTCCATATGTTTATTAACTGCTATCGATTAATGATTTTGTTGTTATTTTTAAAATTATAACATAAAAGAAAAATATTTACTTTAATATGTTGAATATATCAATTGTTATTAATTGTCTTCATTAAAATCATTGTTTTAATTTTTTTGTATACATTTTATTGGATAACAAGTAGGTACTTTAATTTAATTTTAATTTCATTGAGTATTTTACAAAATATTTTACTTTAGGTCCTTAGTAATAAACAATTTCCTCTTTAAAACTTCGACTTACTTTATTTAGATGTCATTCTACAATAATAGGTATACATTTTATGATTACCTATAATTAAGGTCAAAGAGTAATAATAGTACAAGTTCTAATGATCATTTGTTTCAATGAACACAGTTGTAATAATATATTATATAAACAAACTCAATGAATCAGTTATTATTTTAAACTTTTTTTTAAAAATAATAATTAGGTACAAAATGTTTATAACAGTTCTAAGTAACTAATCGATATAATTCAGTTATTAATGATTCATAATATTTTAGTTAATTAACACATGGTTTTTTATATTATTCATAGTTAAAGATAAAATTAAACATAAAACATAACATATTACGTTTATAAGACAATTATACAGTAATTATAAATGTAATCATAATTTTAAACTAGTTAACTGTATTTTCTTCTTTACATAAGACACACAAAACCTTGTCAATAGTTGTTATATAAATACAATAAAAAATAATTGTTTTTGATGTACAGTGGGTTCCCCCTCATGTGATCATATTGTTTCAGGTAATTAATTACAATAATTATTAATTTTCGATTAGGATTAAGATTCTTCTAATTTAAATAATTTTTGAAAAAAAAAACCATGTAAAAATTTTTTTTGCTTTTTTTAGTAAATCTTTTCGTTTGCTTAACATTTAAGAAAAATGTTTAATGACAAATCATAATTAACTAAATACTACGAGTACTCAACGGTAAATGATGCACTGACACACTAATAAATTAAAAAATAAAATTAATATAATAAATGAAGCAGATTAAAAACTGTACCATAAAAACAATAAGAATGTTCATCGGTAAAAATGATTAAAATAAAAGGTCAATTTAATATTAGTAACATATAATTTTGTTTGGGATTTTCTTTTTTGATTCCATTAAATGGTTGATTCTATAAACCAGTGATCACATTAAGCTGAACTCACTGTATTACTAATGCTTGTGATATTAAAAATAAATACCCACTACAAATAATATTAAGTTTAATTTTATTTGATAAATTGTAGTAAAAGATTAATTATTTGCATCAAAAAATAATTTGATCTCCAAATCTTCAAACTTATGCCACATATTTGAACTATTAACATAATTCATGGTTTGTTTTCATTTTTTATCAATTTTAATATTGTTTTTTCTTTTATCTAACATTTATAGTTTTTCATATATGCTCTAATTAGTTAAAAAAAATATTTGTATATACATATTTTACAATTTACTGATAAAATATATTTAGGTAAAAATTTTTAGTTTTATTTATTATCTATATATTTATCTATATCTAATATTTATATATTGCAATATATAAATAGTTTAGGTTTTAACTATTTAATAATTTTAGATGTGTTAGTTAAATAATAGTTAATTTTTCTAAAAATTTTATTATTTTTAAAACAACTAATTTATAAGAAATTAATTTTTGAGCAATTGCCGATAAATGAAAGTCTTATTTTAAATATATTATATAAATACAGTAAAATCCGATTATAACAATCTTCAAAGAATCTAGAGAATCAGATTTTTATATCCGAATTTCGTTGTGTCCAGATGATTGAAAAAAACTTAATTTTTTTTCGAAAAATGTATTTATTTAACAAATATTGTAAAACAAATACTGTGTAACTTGTATGCTTACAATTTTTTTTAAAAATTTAAATCAACTGTAGTGCTCTGTCTGTAATGGATCTATGTAATTTTTATTATATTAGACAAAATTAAATTTATTGTTATAGACGATTAAAAAACTAAATTTTATTAATGCCATTGTTGTATCTGAATTATTAATGTAACCAATATTTCTGCTGATATAATAGAAAACAAAAATTACTCTATACGAGTTATAAAACTAATAGAATACATGGCTAGGAATTGTTTTATCAGGAATATCATTATATAAGACATTGTAATAAGGGGATTCTACTGTATTTATTTATATATTCTACTAAAATTATAAACTTTATTTAAAAATCTGTATTTTTATTTAATCTCTATAGATACATTTAAAGTTATAGATATTTTTATCTAATAAAAAATTAATTTTACTAAAAAAAATTCTATTACATATATATTTTATAATAATAATTTTGTATTTAAAACTTGATAAATTGGAACACAAAATCATTTTCAGTATTTAAAGAATGTGGATTTAAGTTGGTGATAATAAATCAATCATTAATTATTTTTAAGTAATCAATAAAAATACATGCTTACTTTATGTTTCACACCTATAAATTATCATAGATTAAAATAATAATTTATTGGTTTTGGCACATGAAGCATTTGCATATCCATTTTAGTTTATCTAAAACAAATATTAATGTTATATTTAAAACATCTAAAAGGTTCAATGTAAAACGTTTTATTTTGCATATCATTTCTTTAATTTTTTTCTACCAATACTATAATACTATTTTGTGTTATTTATATTATACTGATATATTATGCTTCCAGAAGCTTGTAATATATGTTTATGTCTTAATTTTATTTTTTATGGTTTATAATTATGACAAGTAACCTTTTCTAAATAAAAATGTGAAACAGTGAAACACTTTTAGTATAAGTTATTTATATATAAATATATTGTATATGTGTATGTGTTGACATACATTTAAATGTATTAAATTTTATTTTTACAGTTTAATTCAATAAAATTTCAAATATGGCTGACATAGAAGTTGAACCACCACAAAGTAATGGCTATGCAAATACTAATGATGAGGATGAAGACGAACGTGCAAAAATGAGACCAGCCGATATTGATGCTGTAAGTTATCAATATAGTTTAACAACCATACCACTGATCTTAGCGTTAATATTGTCTTAATTTAAAAGTATACATTATTTATGGAAATGTTTTTTTCTTATGTAGGATGTTAGAGAGATGGAACGGCGGAAAAGAGTTGAGATGATAATGAATTCTCGCTTGTTTCGAGAAGAACTGGAAAGGATAATTGAAATACAAATGAAAGATGGTGTCTCTGTACCTGCTGGTTTTCTACAACAAATTTCAGAAATGATGGGAGGGCGTCAATCAGGAGGAGGAGGAGGAAGCTCTAAATGTTAGCATATTTTTCACAAATGTTTCATATACTTTTTTATACCTTAGTGAAATATTACCATTACTTTTTATATTAATTTGCGTTAAACAAATGTTAATTTAATCTTGATTTCAGCTTCAAATTGTGTGGTTCCAATTAATGATATTCGTGGTGTTGAAAGCATGGGATATGCCAAAGGTGAAAAAATTATCAGATGTAAATTAGCTGCAGTTTTCAGATTAATGGATTTATATGGCTGGACCCAGGGAATTTACAATCAAGTTTCTGTAATTATTATTTTGATTATTCTATTCATTAAAATATTAAGATAATTTTACTTTGATTTTCATAGTTAGAATTAATTTAAAAAAATATTTTTACATGTATTTAAAACAGCTTATAAATACTAAATTATTCATTATATTTTTTTAATGTGAATCATCTTGAAGTTCTATAACTAATATATAATTATTTTTCTAAACTCTAAACTTTCAACTGTTATTATTTAAAATTATTTAGTTATCTATAATTTAATAATTATAATAATTGAACTTAGTATTTATAACTATTTATTAATAATTTGTGAAATAATAATTCAGAATTTTACCTTTTTTTTAAAAAAATATCTTACTTAAACTTCCTTTTGGAATTATGTTGTATGCACTAATTATGTTCTTGTATAAAAAAAGGTATGTTCTATTTTTAGGCTCGACTAAGTCATGAAGAAGAACATTTTTTAGTTAGCCCATATGGTTTATTATGTAACGAAGTAACAGCTTCTAGTTTAATTAAAGTGGACATGCAAGGAAATGTTATGGAATTGGGAACTACTAATTATGGAGTAAACATGGCAACATTTCAACTTCATGCTGCTATTTATGCTGCAAGACCAGATTTGAAAGCAATTATTGATGTACAAGTGTATGTTAGCTCCTTCAAATGTTAAATTTTTAAAAATAATAATTTTTCATTTATTTGCAGAGGACCTGTCTTAGCTGTATCATCTTTACGTTGTGGCTTATTACACATAAGTAAGGAAAGTGCATTAATTGGTGAGGTCTCACATTATGCATACCCAGGGTCTACTGTAGATCCAGATGAAAAAGATAAAATTGCTAGAAGCTTGGGACCCATTAATAAGGTATTTTAATTTCTTCGTATATGTTTATTTTTATTTTATTTCACATTTTAATACAATATTATAGGTTATATTTTTCACAAATCATGGTGCAGTTTGTTGTGGTGAATCAATTGAAGAAGCATTTTATAATGCTTATAATATTGTTACTGCTTGTGAAACACAGGTAATTTGAATTAATTGTTCATAATTGTATTATTATTAAATTATTTTATAATAATTTTTAGCTCAAAGTGTTACCTGTGGGATTAGACAACATCGTGACCATGACCGAAGAACAACGCAAGTTTATTTATGATGCTGCTAGGTCTCCTCCAGAAGGTACAGTGCCACCACCATTACCTGCCGGAGGAAATGTTACAGACAAACGTTGGAGAGTTGGAGGGCTTCAGTTTGAAGCACTAATGAGAATGCTGGATAATGCAGTATGTTAAGAAATTAATAATTATGACTTGTTAACTTTTACAATTAATTTAAAGTAACCTATTCAAAGTGCAGTTGTTATTGTTTTATTTATATATGTAGAACATTGTTTAGTTCAAAAAGGTATTAAAAAGAGTAACTTATTATAAGTGAGTATAATCAGTAAATATATATTTTAATTCAAGTATGAACAAAATTGCAAGAGTATGAAGAAATATTTATTTATTATAAAAATTTGAGAAAAAGGAGCGTGTAGGAGGGCTTACCCTTTTGTTAAAATGTGGTGTGAATATATGTATATATATATTTAAACGTTTAATATGTCAACATGGCACCAGTAGTATAAATATATTGCATAATCTATAATTCATTATTTTTATAGGGGTTTCGTACTGGTTATATATATCGACAACCATTAATCAAAGGTGAGCCCCCACGTCCTCGTAATGATGTAGAGGTACCACCAGCTGTATCTTCTCTAGGATATTTATTAGAAGAAGAGGAATTGTACAAAAATGGGTAAATACATATTTATTCCTAACTTCTGTGTTATAATATATTAATACTTACTAATATTTTTTTTTATTTAATAAGGCAATGGAAAAAATACTACGATGGACGCAAATCTACTGATAGAACCAAATGGTTAAATTCACCAAATGTTTACCAAAAAGTGGAAGTGCTTGAAACTGGGACAACAGATCCTAAAAAAATTACTAAGGTAGACAATAATAATTAATATTTATTCATTATGTATACCTTTAACCACAATTTTAATAAATAAATTTTAATTTTAGTTTTGGTTTTATAAGTTATTTTACTAACCATAAAGTAATATATACAATAATTATTTGTATTAACCTAATGTCAAATGTTTATTAACACTTCTAAAAATTCTATATTGTTCATTAGACTAAGTTAGTATTATAAATAAATATTAATTTATTATAATATTATTTGTGCCATTGGAACTTTTATACTCATAAGTTTCAAACAAACATTAATAATTTTTAAGATTTAACACTGAATAATTTCTGTATTAATTCTTGCTTAGCTTGAAATCTGTATAAGATATAGTAATTTTATTGTAGATATATATTTTATATAAATTAGACTATATTAAATAGAAATTATTATTTATTTATACTAATAAATAAATGCAACTTTAATTTATATTTCAAGATTTACTGGTTCAAATCTTTCAAAAATTGTTTATTTTGCGTTTACTCACAATTATAAATTATGTTAAACAGAACACATTATACTATACATTGTGTATTTTAGAAATATATTATCTGGTATTTTTAGAGCATTTGATTTCATTAACAAATCTTCACTCTGATATATTATAAGCATATCTGTGTGTAGGCTACTACTTTAATTTATTTAACATTGAAAAATATTTAGAACTTAAAAAACGGTTTGGTGTTTTTATATATACTAGAAAAGAGGATATTGTATTTATTTGAATGTTTTTTTAATTAATATTATAGTTGAGTATTTCAACTTCATATAAATACTTTTTATACCTATTCTTTGTGCATATAAAATTTTCTGCGTGTAAATGTAATTAGATTAAGCATTTATCAAATGAAAAAAAAAAATAAGTATTTTAATATAATTAAATTTTTTTGTTAAATTAGAATTATGGATTAAAATAAAGAACTTTTATAGTAATTTTATTTTGTTTTGGTTTTTAATACTTAAATTTTAAACAGTAGTAATAATTTTTTAGTGGGTTTCTGAAGCTTCTCCAAACTCAAGTACACCTTTTAAAATAGATGGACCTTTACAATTTGTTCCAAAAAATACTAATCCAAAAGAGTTCAAAAAGCTACAGCAACAAGTAAGTTTTTATTAATGAGTTACATTCTTTTGTACCTTTAATAAAAACTGATATTTATCGAGTAAATATTTTTCAAATATTTAGATAAAAGAAAATCGGAGAGCTGATAAGATTACTTCAGGACCTCAATCTCAAATATTAGATGGTGTTTCATGGGAAGAAGCTAAAAAATTACAAGTATTCATTAAATACACACATGTTTAAATATACATATATTATATTAAATGTTAATTATTTATTTTAAACTTAGGATGCTAACTTAAACACTAACAGTGATCAAGTAATATTAGTTGGGGCTGCATCAAAAGGCATTATACAGCGTAATTTCCAACATAATGCTACTGTGTATAAGACTCCATATGCTAAAAATCCATTTGATGCTGTTACTGATGAAGAAATTGAATACTACAAAAATTCTGTTGAAAGGAGTACAGTTGGTTAGAAATTAATTAATTATTATTATTTAAACTAAAATTATTTAACATTTATCGCTGATAACATATTTTTTTAAATAAAAGCAATTTCCTATTATTTTTTTTAGATAAGGATCAAGTAGATGTCAAAGAACATCTGGATAATGCAAACTTTTCTCCAGCTAGACAAACTGAAGCATTTATCATTAGTGAAACTGAGGATGAAAGTAGGGCAGGTCAGTTTATGGAAATTTATTTCGACATTTCCTTGAGTAAATTGATTTTTAAATGTTTTTTTTTTTTTTTTCACAGAAGCCAGAGTGTTGCAAGTAGAAAGAAAATCTGTGCTAAAACCCGATCAAGCTGAATTTGTCCTTAGTGAAGGTATTTTGATCATAATTATTTTGCATCTTCTTCATTATTCATTAAAAAGTCAACTGTTGCTTAAGTTGTTAAGTTTGAATTTAAGTAAACTTACAATTTGAAAAATATTTTACCAAATTTATAGTTGGTTAAGTTATATAACTTGTATAATTTTTAGGGGGGCTTATTTTTTTACTTAAAGATATTTTTAAACATCTTAATTTAAGAATAACTGGTTGATTCAATATTGTTGTTGATTCATTAATTTTTATTTTTGTATTCAATAAAAATGTAGCACAAGACAAATATGAGATAAGTGATAATTCAGAATCTACTACTGTTAAACCTATGTGGATTTCATTACCATCCATGGCTAATGTAATAAATGTTCAAGAAATTTGTAGAAAAAAAAAAGAACATGTTACAAGTAATTGAGCGATTCCCTTGTGAATTCATATGAATGTTGAATATTGATAACAATGTATTTTATGTTTCAACACATATTATTATACCCTACTGAATACCTGTTTTGTTTTCTCTAGAATTTTTTCCATATTCAATGTAATTGATTTATTTCAAAATTACAAGCAATCAATTATATCATTTTTTTAATTTAAAAGTATTATTTTCTTTTTAAAAAATTATCATTTAATGCATTTTTGATTAGTATTATAATTTAACTGTTGTTTTTAATTTTTTTATTTGTTGTAATATTTTAAAGAAATTTATTGTCAGTAATAAATGAGCATTTTGTAATTATTAAATTTATAATTATTTGAATATTGCATTTTTTGTAGAACTTTTTTATAAGTTTTAACGGTTACTGTGAACAATTTTTAACTAAACAGTTACCCAAAGTAATATTTTTACAGTTGATTGTAACAGCAATCATTTATGAATGGTACATATTATATAAATTAATAATGGTTATTGTTAACATTCATCAAATATAGATTTATTTTCGCAGTTCAAGTTAATTTATAATTCAGTTTTAATACATACATAGGATCTCTCTAGTTTTTTATTTTCCCTTCAATTACACATGACCACTATAACCAATCGTTATACAATGGTTCCTTGTGTATTCCACCTCAATCTTTTGTTCAATGTGTGTGTTTGTGAATAACTATTTCCATTAAAAGCATTAACAGTTACAGTGCATCAACATTGTAAATACGAATATTAATTCATTATAATTATATTATACTTTAAATTATATCAAATCCTAGAGTTACATCTCTGTATTGTAAATATGAAACATAACGAAATAATTTTTGCAAATTAATGTTAATGGATGATCCTTATTATACTGATACCACTAAAATTAACATTTGGACTTGCAGTTTAATTGAATAAACCCAACAATATATTGATGAATTGAACTTTTTGAAAATAAGTACTGACTTGATATTCTATTATATGATGTTTTTAATTTTTATTACATTTTTAGGAGAAAATACTTACAATGGAGACCAATCAGATGCGCATCAAAGTACATTTTCAAGCAGTAAAGAGGTTATTATTGTATTGATACTGTGTAGTTTGATGCTTGTTGTTTAAATTATATGCTCTAAGTATTAACTAAAAAACATATTGTTCTTTTTATTAAATTATTAAATATTATTTTAGGGTTCTCCAACTAAAGAAATATCCACTGAAGATTCATCACACAAGGATAAGAAAAAGAAGAAGAAGGGAATTCGAACACCATCATTCCTTAAAAAGAAGAAGGAAAAAAAGAAGGTTATTCCAGCATAATCTGATACTTTATAGTAGGCATGTGGTGTTTTTAATACATTAATATTCTCTAAATTAGTTCTTCACTATCTTATATCCAAGAGTTTTACTTTCTTAATTTTCTTTATTTGTATAAGAACTTTACTGTGTGATCGTTTAAAAATATTTTTTGGTGATTTATAAATAATATAATTTAACATCATAAAAATAAAAGTATTAACGCCTAATTTTAATTAATTCTTAAAAATCTTACTATTTGTTTTGATCTCCACTCCATATTCAATACAAAATCTGAAACTGTTATAAAAATTGCAATCACTTATTTTAAAGGCTGGCTTTAAAATATAAAATACTTTTAATTTATATTCCTTGTAAACGCTATTTTTAATCATTAAGCTATTCTAGTTTTATATTAATAGCTATAAATATTATTTACGAACTCCCAAAAATTTGGATTGTATTTCTTATACTTAAGTATTAACTTTTACTTAAAATGTTTATAAACTCAGTATGAATTTAATTAATTAACCATTGATGGTTGTTTATTATATAACTTAGTGTTAAATGTTTTTGTTGAAACTATTTAATTTAATTTTTCATTTACAGAATATATAATCAATTTCAATGCAGACAAATGCTTTGGCGAACACAGCTTTGGTCAACCAGCACTAAGTAGTCTGTAGCTCATATTTAGTCATTCTATCATCTTTTAAAATCATTTTGGACTCATTGAACTAAACAAAACCATTAAAATCTTGACACTCCCATGTCGTTTAATTTTATTAAGTTAAAAATATATATTTAATCAAGTTCATTATACTTACACAATTAGTGACTAGTAATTAAGTTATCCTATTTATTTTTAATTTCATATGTAGATGGCTGGCCCTAATCAACAATTTTAACTATTATTTATTCTCTTTTGAAATTATTGTTACCACATTTAAAATTATTATTTATTTTATTTTATTCTTACACTATTCTATAATCTATAAAATATTTTTTAAACTCTTAGTAATGTGAAAATGTCAAAAAGAAAAACCTAATGATATTCAATTTATGTTATACATTTTTTTTATTTTGGGTATATTATACATTATGTTTCAGATACATAAAACTATAATTTATTCCATATAAATATTTTAATCATTTATTTAAACAATTCAATTTTATTCAACTCAATATTATTGTTCTGGAAATTCTGTTAAAAATCTTCAATTATATTTGATGTCCAATTTATGAATGACTGTACGGGAACAGATTACTAAAGTTTTTACGATAATTCGTTAAATTGTTTTTCAATTTTAACCAGTTAGTTTTTTTAATTAAAATTCTAATTCTAATTAACCGATGTTAAATTTTACTATTATTTTTCGGGGTTGTATTTGATTTAATTAAGTCCCATAAATTTAATTAATATATTTGGATATATTCTACACACTTTATTAAAGGCCAATTATCTTGATTGTATTACATTGCGTTGCGCGATGTCCTTTTTGTACTTTTTGTACAGTTAATTAGCAAAAATAATTTCAAATGGTTCTCCAAGAAATTTGTTTACAATAAAAAAAATTAGATTAATATAATTTATTATTATTGTTTCAAATATTTATCGATATCTTTTGCTTTTTAAATTGTATAATGTATAGGTTTTTTTTTCAACTTGAAAATGTTTCAAAAACGTTAACTATGCATTTAAATTTATTTTTTTAATGTATACTAAAGCTGCTAACAAAGCAACTATGAAGTTGTATTTATTATAAATAATTATATATTTGTGATAAAAATATTATAATAAAAACTATAAATTACCAAACACTTGGTAATGAAATTTTACAATGTGCATATACTATGGAAAATGCTGGTGCATGTAGGTTAGAGAAACAAAATGCACTTAATTTTTAGTTTTAAATAATTAATCTGTTTGCCATTCACCCATATTTGTTTTTATCTAAATCATACTGTAGAAGGTGAATACATATACAGACATTCTATTTATTTTAATATAATGTAACATCACTTAGGTTATAATAGATGACAATTGGCATTGTCATTTTTTTTTTTTTTTTATTATTATTGTAGACATATATATTTGCTATTATTTTAAATAACAGCCAAATTGTAAAAACTGCCCTAATTAACAAATTATTATCGTGAAAAATTAATTATACTTTTTTATACTTATTTATTTGTTATAAAGATATTTAAGTACTATTTTTATTTACAAAATATATTATAAACACAGTAGTTTGTATTTATAATTGTATTAATTATAGTTGTACCAACAATTTTTTTTTTTTTTACAAATTTCATTTCATTTTCTGTATTTCAAAAATTAAAAAAAAAAACCGTTTATTTTATTCTCCCTTTGTTAAGATTATTTTTTGCACAAAAATAAAAACCCAGATCATTTATTTGTAACAATATTGTTTCGTAAAGCTAAAGTAATTTTGTGATTGTATTATTCTATGTATACCTATTATTTCTATTTAATGATGTATTACGATTGTTTTTAAAGATTTGATGTGAAGCCAATGGTAATTAAATAAGCTTAAACTATGTTGTGAAAACTATAGGTATATAAAATTGTATATGTATTTATTATGCCTGCCACAAACGTGTGATGATGTGTATCTATCGCAATAACACCATTACCTCTAGCCAAGTTTGTTTTATATTTTTAATTTTATTTTCTTCGCGTTATGATAACGCTGAAAAAAAAACAACTTTTAAGTCCCCGATTACTTTTAATTTGTAATTGTCGCTTTATTATGAATATTTATAACATTTGTAACACAAATTCATCATATTTATGTTAAGCTTTTAAATAAAAAAAAAAAAAAAAATTATATACATTGTTTAATTTAAAATTTTATATTATTATTATATACATTTTATTTATTTTGTTTTTGTGTTCCTTTTTTGGTTTTCATTTTGATTTCAAATTTTTAAAATATTTTCAAACCCTAAGCTGTATCATCAATATATTGCTTTGTATCGATAACAATATTGTTGTTTTGTCAATAACCCTTAACCACTTGAATTAATATCTTTGGCCATTATCCTGTCGCCCGCAGTTCCAGTTGTAGTATCCACCAGGTCCGCAAGACTTGGTCTTGTAGCTTAACGTTCACCTGTAGTTATAGAATACGTTTTTCAGGAGATTAACGCATTGAAAAGTTCCACGTAAAAACTTACAAACCTTCGAAGTACAACTGGGTTGTTATGGTCGGTTTTCACTTTAACGCAATAGCAACCGAACACACCTAAGGAGATACAACGATACGTAGTACAGGGTCACACGACTGGAAAACGTTTAGTGAGGTGACCCGTATTCTTTCGGTGTGTCAAATCAGTTTTTCGTGGCTCTTCAACGTGTGTACGTTGAATGTCGCTAGAAACGTAAAGCCGTTTGCGAAAAAAAAAATCAATCGAACGGTTCCCGGACATTTAAACCCATTTGAATTAATCGTAATATCAATTGTACGGACCGATACCTATTTGCAACCGAAATTACATCGAAATATTTGACTTGAAACGTTCGTTATTAGTGCGCCTAGGCTCCAGCGCTGTTCGCGCAGGTACTGCATTAGTCCTAAGGATTTCTAGGACCTGGACCGAATCGATACGGTGGTGGATGAGGGGCCTCGATCATCGCGATGATGCGCGAGTTAAAAACAAAAAATACGTGACAAGTTTGCGAAACGTAGGTGAATCGTAAATCGGTAAATTATTCTCCAAACCCGACCGATCGAGACCGTTATAACGCATCGATACAACCGTATTACATTTCTAATAACTTTTCAACAACGTGTATTACTGTACTGTGACCGCAATTTAATGAAAACGTAATCCACACAGCCTAGAGGGTTGCCATACGTCCGGGTTTGGCCGGGACAGTAACGATTTTGAGTATGGCGTCCCGGTGTCCCGATGATTTGTTACGGGAAAGCCAATTGTCCCGGAATGATTCTTTAATAATGTTTGTTTTTATTTTATTAAAGTCTAGTTCAAAAAAAAAATAATATTGTCATGATAAAATAAAATGTTGAATAATTGACTGACGAAATCTGTTTTTAATTATTCTCCCGACTGAGTGACTATTTATTTTTTTGTCGAATACGTTCTTCGTATTTTCGTTTCCACATAATAACATATAACAATAATAGTTGTAGTTATCGCTAAAGGAATCGACCATTAATTAATATTTTATCAGTTGTAATGAGCTAATCACATTAGTTTAGAACTGTAACGTAGAGTAGTAGAGTAGTCGTACTATAAACAATGTTCATTTCAGACTTTCTATCCCGGAAGGGAACGTCGCAGTAGTAAATAATGAATATATAAATATATTTTTGCAATAATTGTATCTGTATAATTAAATGACCAATAAGAAGTTAGGTCATCGAAAAAAAATGAAAAAAAAAATTGTCCCGGTTTTCGTCAAATACAATATGGTAACCCTACCACAGCCGTAAAAATAAATTAGGGTCTCGGATACGATGACGAATTTCTACATACGTTCGGACAGAATCACGTAATCAGAGCCGCAATGAATCGTAACCGTTTGGGAAGTACGAATCACCGAAAGCGTCGTCGGAAAATGCCTGTGCAGCAGCGATCGATTCGTGTCGATGACCGGTGACGGGACGGGAGACGATCGAACGCGGCCAAGCTTGCCAACTTAGCCGTCGGTAAAACGGTTTAAGAAGTGTGACGGAACGTTTCGGATCACTCTGTTTATCGTAAACGTTCCGAGTCCAAAACGTTTGATTCGTTTAGAAAGTCGACTGGCGCCAAGGTGGATTGCTACGATCGGGACCAGAGGCGGCTTAATCACGCGTTTTGTGGATCACTGAACTACCGAAAACTTTGGGGTGGGTGTCATTTAATAGGTGGGTACTTGGTCTTGTCAACTGGCAGTGGTAGGTAATATAAAATCGGTTATTCAATAGAAATTAGGTAAACTTCCCTCTACCTAATGTGACTTTTTGATTAGGGGGTGGGTGGTATTAACTATGTTTGAACCGCCAACTGAAAAATGTCAAACTGCCTAAGGATCGGATCGTAACACGTCTGATTATTGGTCTGTTCGGGACTAATGGGGTGAAGTAAGGTATTTTCATGACAGGCAATTTCGTGACATCATTTGTTGAGCGTATAGTGTAATAAGGAATTACACTATACGAGTACGTTCAACAAATAATATCACGAAATTGCCTATGCCACGAAAATACCTAACTTATACGCCTCGTGTTTTTGTGCAAGAGACTGCGATTCTTTCAAAGGGGCTAATAAGATCGACCCGGACGCGATCGAAGTCGCATTTCACGTATACGCCGAATATGCAGTGGTCGAAATGGCTAAAGATAAGTGGAGGAATGCCTTACAATTCAAATTCCCTGATATCATCATAACATTCTTCACACTTATAATATTTATTTTTTTTTATATTTCACATAAGGTATATTATTTTAGTCCGTGGCTCTAAATACGGATATAATACGGGTTGCGAAACGGCTTATACCAGGGGGTGGACACAACACGGCGGCAACGAAATCAGCGGCCATTTTAATTGAGGTACTTTTGTTATCAAATTATAATCAGTGAAAACTGATATTCGTCATTAATTGTAATTTCAATTATGGTAATTGTTCAATATGTGATCTATCAAACAGTGTGAAACATGGTGACCTACTGGGTACCAAGAAGTTTTTACTTGTGGATCATTTTTTAGATGGTATGTTGTACCATAATACAGGTCCATGTGCAGGTTTTCAGAATGGGAAGTGTTAAAAAAAAAAAAAAAATGATTAAATAGCATTATAAAGGTATTTATATAAATTTTTTAAGTATATTAAAAACGTTTATATCGATATAATACTATAAAATGCAAACCATTGCTGTAGTAAATTTACAAATACAATTGTAATACGTTTACAAAAACACAATTTATATTTTTTTGG